GGTTTTGGGAGTTGATTCAGTTTGAGAGTTTATATTTGTATATGTCGAGCGGCATCTTAAATATTTTATTTATGTTTTATCCTCAGTTCATGGCTAGTTTTATCTTTTGTTTTCTTTTTCCAAAAATTGTTAGGCTTACCTAGTCGTAGAGACTAGGTACCATCACGACAGTTCATGGAGGGCGAACTTGGGTCGTGACACCATACCATTTCCACTTAATTTGTTGGTCGCTAAAGCAGGCTGATCTAGGACGATGTAATTTGCCTGGTTTATGGGCTTTTAGAACTCCGACTCTATACGACCCAAAGAAAAACCTGTATGAGTAGCCCAAAGTAGGTGCTTTCACAAGGCCACATAAAACTACAACATAGTAACACACGTAATTATCATAGTGTGGCATCTCAGAAAAATAGTGTATGTGTAGACCTGATAAGTTATGTGCCTTTGTGTTTTGATGATTTAACAAATTTCATATGAGAACCAGATAAGGAATGTGATACAAAGCCTCTCTGTTCTCAGAACTACAAGTCACATGTTTGGCCAAGTTACAATGATATCAGTCAAGGGAACAACAGAGGGAACAGATGGCTATTTGTTCCTCCGGTCACAGTACAAGTCAACTTGACAGTTGTTAAACCTGATGCATTGCAGACGCAACAATGCAGCAGTCACTGTTGAAGCATGTTGTGTACCAGATACTTGCTTGCATCATCCTAGTGGCATCACTTATATATCATCAAGATGAGGCAAAGGATTACACACACTTGCAAACCCTAAAATATAATTTACTCTCAAGTGTGCAGCCACCTTTATTTACTCCAAGGCTTGAAGAACAAAGCAGCAACAGAACAATGGACCAGATCCCAACATTGAGTACATCGAGTGTCCTTAGTATTGTCATATCTTTGTTAATGTTATTCACTTGTAATACCTGCTCAATTTAGTTAGAAGCATCTCGCGGGATATCTTTCTAAACCATAAACCTCGTGTTGTATTTGACTAGAGTTAGTCAAAGTGGTGAGCTTTGTAATAGAGTTATTACAAATAGGATTGCAATATAGTTATTGCAAGTAGGTGAGAGATTAAGAGTTTAATTTATAGGTTATAAGAGGTTGTAATCTAAAGTTACTCAATTAGTGAAGTTAAAATCCTACGAGTGTAGGTCATGATTTTTAATCCTGTAAGCTGGGAGTTTTCCATGTATAATAATGTTGTGTTATTTACTTATCATTGTGTGTGTGTGCGCGCGTTCTGAGGGAAGTGATAGAGAAATATGTTCTCTATACGGTTTGGTGGACTCTTTTACTTCAATTGATATCAGAGCATGTTCTTTCTATAAGGCTAACACCTAGAAAGGATTTACATGGCTGCTCCACCAAACTTCGAAGAAGGTCAATCAACCTATAGACCACCAAGATTCAATGGATAATATTATGGATGGTTGACAAGAATACATGATTTTATCATGGCTGAAGATTCGGTGCTTTGGGATGTCATCTGTGATGGACCCTTCATCCCTATGAAGACCATTGGTGAGACAGTAGTCACAGTCCCAAAGACAAGGAAGGAATACGATGATGTCGATTACAAAGTTATCAATAAAAACATTTAAGCAAAAAAATTCCTCGTAGGTGGTATTGGACCAGACGAGTACAATAGAATCTCAGCTTGTCAATCTGCCATGGAGATCTGGGAGGCTCTCCAAAACGCACATGAAGGTACAACTCAAGTCAAGCAGTCAAAAATCGACATGCTTACTCTGAGTATGAACTCTTAAAGATGAAGGATGATGAGTCCATCTAGGACATGCATACTCACTTCATTTTCATCATCAATGAGTTCCATTCTCTTGGAGATATTATTCCAAGGAACAAACTAGTCAGAAAAATACTTAGTGTGTTACCTGGTTCTTAGGAGAGCAAAGTTAATGCTATCACGGAGGCAAAAGATCTGCAAAAGCTGACAATTAACGAACTCATTGGAAATATGAAGACCTACGAAATGACGAAGAAGAAGAAGAAGAAGAAGGATCATGAAAGAAGAGAACCCTAAAAGGAGAAGAACCTGGTTCTCAAAGTAGACAATAGTGACTCAAGTGGTGATGATACTGACATGGCATATTTCAAAAAAAGGCAGCTCTAGCAGAACAAAAGGCTATGATTGTTGTCACAAATGCAGAAAACCAGGATATTTCATCAAAGATTATTCTCTCTACAAGCAAGAATAATACAAGCATGACACAGATAAGACGGCCAAGAGGAACCTACTTCCAGACAGAAAATTCAAGAGAAAAGATGTCGTTGTGAAACAAGCTATTGCTGCATGGGGAGATTTCTCTAGTGAATCTGAGGGCGATGATGAACAAGGAGACACCTCCATAATGGTCATTGCGTTGCAAGCGAAGCAGTAGAATATGACTACACATTTTCCCTGATGGCAAAAAATCTAATGAGGATGAAGATGATAATGATGATGAGGTAAACTTTCTATACATTCAAAGAAATTTGAAGTCTTACTCTCAAAAGAAGCTGGTATCTCTAGCTAATGCCTTGATTGATACTTACCATAATCTTATCAATGATAAAAATATTTTAACTGAGGAATTAGGAGAGGTAGAACATGAGAGAGATGACTTGTTAGTAGTAGTTGTGGATCTAAAGGAAATAGTAGAGGATTTAAAAAAGAACAATAATTCTATAAGAGCTTCAATAGAAAATTACATGAACTCTTCAAAAGGAAAGGAAGTGGCAAGTGATGCACATATTAAGCTTGAAAATGAACTCAAGAAGGTAAAATTAAGTCTTTGTGTTGAACTTGAGAGAAACAGACAACTTCATGAAGATTTAAACAGGGTTAAAAATGACCTAGATAAATCTCTGAAGTGGACCCGGTCCTCTGATACAATCACCTTCATGTATAAAAATAATGAGCGAAATATGTGGGGAATTGGGTTCCAAAAGAAAAGGTTCCTTACAATCCATATAACAAGTATGTTACTGTAGTGATAGCTAGCTTTGCACTCGCTGTGGTAACAGTGGTCATTTCAAAGATTCCTGTAAAGCTAGGTCTTAGTCCCAATAGAAAAATAAAGTCTTTATTGAAAAAGTATCTACTGCTGGGGAACTTGGTTCCTGCAATAAGAAACGTGTAATGCTTGCTTAGACAAAAAGAAGCTTAATTCGCTCATTTCCTCATTACAGGGGACCCAAGCTTGTTTGAGTTTCTAAGTCTAATCTCTAATTTTCTTGTGCAGGGAGCAGTGAAAAGAAGCAGTCAAAGAAGGTACATGGATAGTGGTTGCTCTAAACACATGACTGGAAGTACTGATGATTTTTTTTCACGCAAAGCCCTACAAGGTGGGAGTGTGTCCTTTGGTAATGTCAAAAAGGGATACATTCTAGGAGTTGGAAAAATTGGGAAGACACTCACTCATTTAATTAAGAATGTGTTATTATGTGAATGGCCTGAAATACAGCATGCTCAGTGCCTCTCAAATCTGTGACAAAATAAACAAAGTGGAGTTCTTATCAAAGTCTTGCACAGTCACAATCTTGTAACAGGTGAAGTGGTTCTGGTGGCAAAAAGATTCAAAAATATCTATGTTGCAGATTTTGAGTCTATAAAAAATGGGGACCTTACATGTTTTAGTGATGTCGATGATGATGCTGAACTGTGGTACCGAAGATTGGGACATGCAAGCTTCTCCTTGTTGAACAATCTAGCCAAGAAGGACCTTATTCGTGGGTTGCCAAAGTCAAAGTTCAAGGATCATAAGGTGTGTAATACATGTGTAAAAGGGAAGCAAGTCAGGTCATCCTTCAACCAAAGAAGGAAGTAAGCATCTCAAGGCCATCCATATGGATCTGTGGACCTATGAGGATGCCAGCAGAGGAGAAAACAAGTACATCTTTGTTATTGTAAATGACTACTCCAGTTTTACATGGACCTTCTTCCTCAGAACCAAGGATGAAATCTTTCATGTCCTTGCTATCTTTATGAAGCAAATTCAAGTGAAGATGAGCCATAATGTTGTAAGCATAAGATCTGATCATGGACCCGAGTTTGACAATGCAAAATTTGATGAACTCTTTGCTGAAAATGGTATAAGTCATATTTTTTTAGCTCCTAGAACAGATAAATTTTATTTCATTAAATTATAAACAGAAAAGAAAAGTGAGTTTGTGGAATGGGCCAACTGAAAGGATTAAATAAAAATAAAAATAAGGTAAAGTGGATCGTGGGTCCCACACAAACCCATAAACACCATCTAAAATGAATTGAAGGGCTTCTCCTTCTCGTTTTTAGCACCAGAAACATTATCCAGAACAAAAAATTTCTCCAAACACCATTTCTTCTAGTGTGCTAAGGTATTATTCAATCTGATTTCTTCTACTTAAATCAATTCTTGTCGTATTCATCTCTACAATGTAACACTTTCATAGTTTATATTCTTTTGCTTAGCCAAATTTAGATGTGTGATTTCTTTGAATGCAACTAGTAAATCTGAAATCAATTATAGATTGCGATTAACTTCAATGCAAAGTTCTAGCTTGTACAGATCTAATCCTATTCTGTCAAAGTTTAGCTCAATTCTAAAGATCTTCTGCTATGTCCGTTTATTCATGGATTTAAGGTAAATTCGTTCTCAATCTCTTATGGATTCTTTGTATATTGCTCACAAAAATAAATCATATTTCAGATGTCTCACAGATACAGATTCTAGATGTTGAAGCATCTTCTACACTTGAAATTAGTAGTGCCAAAACACAAAATTCACTTGTCATATTAGTGTAATATTATATAGTAAATTATTTAAGAACACCCCTAGGAAGAGTACAAAAGCATATTCAAATATATTCACACCAAATAGAGGGTCCTATTATGCTTCAATTGATGTCAACATTAATTGTTGTTTGCACTTGGTTTTGGCTGCAACATGTTGTCTGCAAGCTTGATTATTGAGTCAACAATTGGGTGAAAGTACTATTTGAATCTCCATATAGCTGCATATTTCAAATTGGAAGAAAAATACATATTAAAATTATTAGATGAAAGAAAGATGCAAAAACCAAACAAAAAATATGTAACTTGACATGTATAGAGATTAAACCTCAAAACGTAATCCCGTGGACGTGTGTGGTAGTCATGCTTTAGCTTTTGATACTTTTTGAGATGTCCTTCTCCTTCTTTGCTTAATAATTGGCTTTAATCTACCATATCCCTTTTCCATTCTTTTTTCTTGATTGGATCCAGAATCTGATCCACACCACCTAGCAAAGGATCAATAGTTTAAATAAAAGTATGCCGTTCTTTATCACGAACGTCTATATACAATGCATGTTGTAGCTTAGTCATCTCACAATAATGCACATCCAAAGAAAATATTTTTCCAATGATTATTTACACCAACAAATGGAGTACAAATTATGCCATTTCTATTTGTACAATATGCAGTATCAAAAATCATCACATCCCCAAAACACTCATAGTGCAATACATATGATATCTCTCTAAAAGAAGTTGCACAATTTTCCATCTTCATCAACTTGAAAAAAATAAAAGAAGTTTGAATCCTCTGATTGCAAATGCATAAAATGATTTACCAAAGTTTGAGCATCTCCACTACTAATCATGTTTCTCTTATGCGCTTGTATGAAGTTATGAGCATCTTGTTCAGTACATCCTGCATTTTCAATTCCACCTACTTCATTCCGAAGGTATCGAACAACTCTTTTTGCACGAATACCAGCATCAACCATAAACCAAAAATATTTTTTGTAGCACTTGTAAGATTTTGACTAGATTATATGAAATGTATCAAGTTCTTTTCTATCATGAGATAGCTATACACATCATTAAATTCACATACTTTCCATGTCCCATTTGAAATTTTGAATTTTATATGAGCCAAACAAACATATCTATATTCCAACCTTTGTTTCTTTCTTTCATGAAAAGGGGAAAGCTTATCATATTTTCTTTCACAAGAACAAAGAAATAAACATCTAGTCATTTCTTTCTTTCTATTAAAAGTTTTTGGTCCTTTTCGAACATCGAACCCCATGGCGTAGGAATTGTATGCATTGTATGATTCTTCTACGGAATCAAATTTCATGCCAATCTTAAAAGCAAAGTTCTTGTCGATATTATACACATTATGTATCATTATGAAATTTTTCTCATCATTTGCTTTATGATATTGGTAAGAAACAGGAGTAGTAGGCACTATCGTAGTCCCCATAACAAAATAAACTCCACCTCTATCTACTGGTACAATAGTTTTTGTTGTTTCAGGAATCCTCTATCAACAAAAATAAATCCCTCTTAGAACACAAAATTAGAAAATAAACTTACAGTGAATTTTCTCCCCCAAAGTAGACCAGTTATGCATACTGAAACTAAGTAATCCATTTATTTTATTGTCTGCTAAAAATTATTTCCAGCAACTATGTTCAATATATCTTGACTGAAGTCTGTAACGATTAGTTGGAAGACTGCAACAAAGTAAGATATAATTTTACCACTAAAATGTTAAGTCCTTGATAAGATTTTGTTCATTATTGTCTATTCTTTATCACTAAAAGATTGCAGTGATATAATTTAAGTCTATTCTTTATCACTGTAGCTGTGAATGAAATCTTTTGGTGCGTTTTTGGCCCACCACCTCATTTTAACACTAAAAGATTATCGTGATAGTAAAAGTTCATATTGATCTTATTTTAAAATTTAGAGTAAACAATATTTTAGTATTGATATATTTTTTCTTGCAGGTATGGTAGCAAAATATTTCAAATGCAAAAGTCTCAATGTCAGTAGGTACAAATTTGTATTTATGTACCAAAATAAGGAGCATTTTATTAACAAGAAGAAATAAATTTTATATTGACAAGAAGAGTATTTTGTCAGCATAATTTTGTATTTCATATTGATATCGATGAATAACTTCCAAAGGTTCAGTTTTAAAGCTTTGGAAACAAAAGATGAATTTAGAAAGATATAAACTATGATAATAAAAATAAAAAAATAAGAAGAAGATAGATATATACAAAATGTATATGAAGTATTACGTTTGGATAGAATGTCGTTTTCCTTTGCTTGAATATAAATTTGTTGTGGCCTTTGTTGGACTATGTTGATCAACAATTAGTGGTGGAAAATTTTGTTGGAGTCTATTCTCTATTGTGATAACCAAAATTGGTAATTAAGGAAGGAAAATGGCTTCCACATTTTTTCTTTCCCTCTATTTCTCTTGTACTATCTATTTAGTTTTCTATCAACAAAAAATTCACTTATTTTCTTTATTTGTTTGAGTTAATCCAATAGCAAATGGACCCCATAAATACACTTGTCAAAAGTAAAGAATGGCCTCATGCAACTATTGTTAGGTGAGTCTCAACCAAAATAAAATTTCTCCCTAGAACACCCCACCAAAAAGGTGTAGTGGAGAGGAAAAATAGGACTCTTGAAGATATGGCAAGGACGATGTTAATTGACAATAGTGTACCAAAGACTTTTTGAGTTGGGGTAGTGAACACTGCCTGCTATCTGATAAATAGGTGCATGATCAGGTCCCTCCTAAACAAGACCCCGTATGAATTGCTAAACGGAAAAAAACCAAAGCTGACTTACCTGAGAACATTTGGGTGCAAATGTTTTGTTCTCAATAATGGTAAGTAAGCGCTGGGAAAATTTGATGCCAAGAGTGATGAAGGGATTTCCTTGGATATTCTTCACAAAGCAAAGCATACAAAGTCTACAACAAAAGAACTAAATGTATAGAAGAAAACGTACACATAATCTTTGTTGAATCAGACCACTCAAGTAGGAAAGATTCACATGATAAGAATGATCAAGATGGAGAAATCATTGATGTAGCAAACGGGAAGGCAGATCTGATGAGTCAGGTCAAGGAGTCTAGTGAAGAAGATGCAGCAGAACCTCCAACTGATTCAGAAGAACCTGGTCTCTCCATTATAGTAACTGAAGCAAAAAATAGAGTTGTTGATTCTGTGCAAGGCACCCCTGATACTGAGTAGAGAAGTGGCACTCACACTTCTGTGGATGCTAATGATGGATCTCACACGGCGAAACCTAGTTCTTCTCATCATAAGACTTGAGTATCTAAATGGAAGCACAAAAGCTTACATCCTCTCCAGAATGTAATCACTCCTCTAGATTTAGGAATTAAGACTATATCAAAGACAAGTATGTTTTCTTTCTTAGCTTTCCTATTTCAAATTGATCCCAAAAATATAAAGGAATTATTAAAAGATGCTGAGTAGATTGCTGCAATGCAAGAAGAACTTCATCAATTTGAGAGGAACAATGTGTGGCACCTGGTTCCCCGACCTTCATATAAAATAATTATTGGATCCAGGTAGGTGTTCAGAAACAAGCTTGATGAGTTTGAAAATACAATAAGAAACAAGGTCAGGTTGGTGGTTCAAGGCTATAATCAAGAGGAAGGAATTTATTATGATGAAACTTTTTCTCCACTTGAAAGGATGAAAGCCACCAGAATTCTCATTGCTTTTGCATCTCATATAGAATTCAAATTGTTCCAAATGGATGTCAAGAGTGTATTTTTGAATGAATTTTTGAAGGAAGAAGTCTTTGTCAGACAACCACCTAGTTTTGAAAGCCATGAGCATCCTGAACATGTATTCAAGCTCGACAAGGAACTATATGGATTAAAGTAGGCCCCTCATGCATGGTATGAATAGTTGTCCAGGTTCCTTTTGGAAAATGATTTTATAAGAGAGAAAATTGACGACACTCTTTTTCTGATGAAAAGAAGGAGGAACCTGCTAATTGTGTAGGTCTATGTTGACGACATCATCTTTGGTGCAAAAAATGATTCCTTGAGTGAGGAGTTTGTCAAGCTTATGGGAAGTGGGCTTGAAATGAGCATGATGGGGCCACTGAACTTCTTCCTAGGTCTACAAGTTAAGCAAACCTCTAAGGGAATGATGATAAGTCAGCAGAAATACATTAAGGAGCTTCTGAAGAGGTTTGGGATAGAAAGTTCAATGACCATTGATACTCCTATTATCACAGCCACTCATCTAGACATGGATGCATCTGGTTCCCCTATGAATAAAACCATGTATCGGGGCATCATTAGTTCACTCTTGTATCTTACAGTCAGCATACCTGATATTGTGTTTAGTGTGGGATTCAAGTCCGAAAGAATCTCATCTGAAAGATGCTAAGAGAATCTGGAGATATCTCAAAGGAACGCAGGACCTGGTCATCTATTATCCTTCAGGAGACAATTTTGACTTAATTGGGTATGCTGATTATGCTAGTTATCTGGTGGATAGGAAGAGCATATCTGGTATGGCATATTTTTTGGGATCACGCCTAATTTCATAGGATACAAAGAAACAAAACTCCGTAACCTTCTCCACTATAGAAGCTAAATATGTAGCAGTTGCCTCATGTTGTGCTCAACTACTATTGATCAAGCAATAATTAGAAATTTTTGGTGTGTTTTTTGACTGTGTGCCACTGCTATGTGACAACACCTCAACATGGCAAAGAACATAATTCAGCATAAGAGGACAAAGCACATTGATGTGCGACATCATTTCCTCAGGGACAATATTGAAAAGAGTCTCATATGTATGAAGTTTTGCAAAACAAAGGACCGGGTGACTGATATATTCACCAAAGCATTGAGCAGAGAGCATTTTGAAAGAATCGACTGGAGCTGGGACTGATCAAATTGAACTGAAAATCTTCTCCCTCAATGACTGGCTATGAAGGAATGGTAAGGTTAACTGCTAAAAAGTGTTTTCTGGCAACTTCTAACTCAATTATATACCATTACAGGTAAACACGCATAGCAATTATAGGCAAACAAGCAGCTAATGACATTGCAATTTTGTAAGAGGATGATGCTTATATTTGCAAAATTAGTTCGATTGTGGTTCCCATGACTCAGGTTAGTAGTTCATCTTACAATTATACGCATTTTGAATTGCTAAACGTGCCATGTCATTAAATGTATCCGCTCTTTTTCCAATACCTTTTAAACCTAAACATCACACCAATTTCAAACCGACCCGTATACCCAGTCCATCACGTCCAACTGTAACCGGTCCCTCATTCTTTCTAAATAACCCCAAAAGACATGTCTCTCTCATAACTGTCTACATCAAAGCCATCAAACTCTTTTCTTCTCTCCCAAAACACTCTATTTCATGTCTTTACTCTCAAAAAATTCACCATGTCTTCTCAGAAATCAGAGTCTCCTAAAGCTACCATTGACATCCCTATTGTGTCTTCATCTCAAAAGCACAACAGTCTAAGTCAGAGCCTCAAACTTCACCCATTGAAAACCCCATCTCCAACCAACCACCACCCACTATCTCTTCCTCGACTCCATCAAGTTCTGGTTCCCATCGTAGAAAGAAAAATCAATCACCCAAGAAGTTTATTGCTTCAACCTCTCCCTCTGCTACGCCATAAAAAATGGAAGAAGAAGGACCGGTAGAAGGGGAAAAAGGAACATAGGTCTCGAGTCAGTGGGTTGAGGAAGCAACTATAGACAAAAAGGATGTTACTAGTCTTGGTGAAACATCTGGTGCACCTAATACCCCCTCTGCTCCCATTTTTTTATCTAAACGGTCTATCACCATCAGGTAATTCCTCTCTAGCTTCTACTGATTCTGCATTGTTTGTTGATTTAAGTAAAAAGAAGTCATAGAAAATATGTTGCTTATTGTTGTTCAAGGGAGTCTAGTTGGGGAACATGTGTCTGGTGATATGAGTGTCGGGCTTATGGGGAAAAAATAGGGGATGGGGATTGAAATAGGGACCTAGTACCTCAAGGTGGCTTGGTACCATTTAGTACTACAGGGGATCCAACAGAGGGACCTACTCCCTCTGCCCAAGAGGATCACTCTGGTCCTACTTAGGATAAAACTTCATGCTCCACTAGAAAGCCCCTAGACAATACTGACCCTCTTCCTTCCCCTCATCTTAATGCAGTTCCATTAGATTTTGTGATTCATGTGATGAAATCTTTGTCTGAAGATGATGATGATGATGATGAAAGTGAGGAAGATTATGACGATATACATGTAGCCCAGTTTATCGCTGCTAGAAGTGGTAGGACATACTCTGAAGAGCCTGTTCTTAAAAGACTCACTACTAGGCAGCAGAAGAAAGAAGCCCTTGAAAATGCTTTGAAGAAGAATAAGGAGAAAAAGAAAATAAAAAGATTGGTGAAGGCGTGAAAATTAGTGAATGGGGAGGATCTACCTCCGGCCAATATTGTGGATGTTGAGGACGAAGAGGCGAATGAGAAACCTGCTTCCCATGTTCGTAAATCCTCTAAGAAGTTTGTGCTGTGAAGTCCAAGAAAGTGTCATCTGTGAAGGATGCTGAAATTGATGGAGAAAAGAGTGTTGAGAAGGAGTCTGGTGAGAAAGCTAAGTCTGGTAGGAAGGAAAAAGGTGTTGAGAAGAAAAAATCTCACAAGAAAAAGGCAAATGAGAGTGAGGAACCTGGTTCTTCAAAAAGGGCCAGAGTGGAAGTGTTTGAAGTTGACAGAAAAGAAAGGTTGAAGAATCAAAAAGTGTTGTGGGCAGAGTATTTGATGCTACCATTCATGACATGTCAGGCATGAGACAGCTAGTTGAAATTTCTGATTTTCAGAAATTGACTCATCTTTTTACTGTTCAGAGTCCAAAAGTCTATGAAGAGGAATTTCGTAGTTTCTACATGACAATATCTTCCTGAAGGTCAATGGAGTAGATTTGTGATGGATAAAGTTGTTTGGGGAGTATCCTTGATGTACCTACTGAGGGGCTCTCGTTTGTTGAAGGGACATGTTCCTCAGATTTTAGAAAAGTTATTCTAAAGTCTCAAGTTGTTCAGCGAGAGGAACGAGTGCACAAGAAGGTGTTGCTTTCTGAATACCAGCTCATGTTTGAGATGGTAAATAAGATCTTGCTCCCTCGATAGGAAAGACGTTCCATTGCATTAATAGCAAACTTGTTTCTCCTAGAGGCATTGGGTGGATACACTACTATCAGCCTGCCTGGAATCATGATTGAACATATGAAGAGGTGGCATACTTCAAGGATAGGAACCATGGATTTCCATATGTGTTCCTTCTTACCAAATTTTTTGAATATTTTAAAGTCCCCTTGGGGAGAGTAGTTGTGAGAACTCGTAAGCAAATGTTCTCAATGACTACCTTGGAGGAATGCGAGTGTATTGACAAGAAGGGGAAAGTTGGTAGCAATTCTATGATTTCTCAACTGATTGATGCTCATACTGC